GAGTGAGTGAGTGAGTGAGTGAGTGAGTGAGTGAGTGAGTGAGTGAGTGAGTGAGTGAGTGAGTGAGTGAGTGAGTGAGTGAGTGAGTAAAAAACACTTTAAAACAGCTAAACTATCTGTGTAAGCTCATTTGTGTCTTATCTTTACAGTTTTTTACTAAACATCTGTCTGTTGAAGGAAAGATGTTCACAGGAACGTAGGAACAAATTATTCACACCTCCTCGTTGTCTTCATCAAAGTAGGTCAGCTGCAGGCTGCAGAGGCCGAAGGAGCGTTTCACCTGAACACAACAGGACAGGAAGGTTAAACCTCAAGCTTTTTATAGACGGATGCAGATTTTATCCAAGCTGGGGTCKGACAGTTTAGTCAACTCCCAGCAGAATGACCCATTCAGCAGCCTCAGAACCAGCCTGGTCTCGGTTTGAGTCYGAACACTGATGTTGTTCTGCACACAAAACAGCCACAAACTAAAARACTGTCTCACAGAAGTGTAGCGTGATGTCACACCCGTCAGTTTTTAAAAAAGTGTGTGGGGGTCAAGCCTGAAAAACAGAAATCTGTCCCTCGTTTGTCCGACCATTGTTCTTTTGGTTCTGTATTTCCTTCTATCACTTRTCCTCAGTCACTTGCTGCCCCGCCCACTTCCACCTGTTCCCAGTCAGCATCAGTGTCAGCTGTTTTCTGTGTCCTCACCGCCCCGGTCCACTCTGATCTTTGTCCCACTCCGTTGGTCATGGTGGGCTTCGTGTCTTGTCTGCGTCTACTCAACTTTATTTTTGACTTCAGTTCTTCATGTTCAGATTGCAGTCTTACTAACATGARATAAAATAAAAAATCCAACTTCTGAGAAGTTTAAAATCTGCAGCTTCAGCTGAGAGCCCACTGAATATCAGAAATATAAATCAATAAAATATCTTATGAACTTATTCAAGAATGATTCAGGTTTACAGAACATGTGGAGCTTTGATTTGTTTATTCTCAGCATTTTTGCTCAGACATGGTTCTGGACTGACTGAACACGAGTCCTTGACCCACTTTCAGATCGCATCTCTCAAATACAATGTAAAACACGTTTTTTTTTCCTGCTCTTTTCTCTGTAAATGATTTGGATTTGATGCCATTTTTCCTCCCAGTGAGGTTTTCATTCTGTTTGATGGCTGGGTTTCAGTGGTTTAATGTTCTTGACTGTTCCTGCCTGTTAGGAACGTTTTACTGAACAGAACTTCAGTTGATTTTAGTTATTTGGGTTTTATGGTTTTCAGCTCAGACTTGTGATGGTGTCCCAAACAAAACAACATTTTGCCTCAAAGCCTGGAGGATAAACAACACACACACACACACACACACACACACACACACACACACAC